ACTTTGAATATTACATGTTAATAACTTGATTGGAATTATAACCTTGAGTTGACAGTTTGATACTTTGAAAATTTTGAGCCAGCCCTACCCCCAAGGGCTGTAGGGTGGGGCCCAAAGGAGTCAGTGTGCTAAAATTTCTTCATTTTCCTTGTTTAGAATCAGAGGTGCTAGTTTCAAATACTTTTTAGTCTTAAATCTGTATGCTAGATATTGAATAAGGTGGTTTTATTGTTTTTTGTCACTTTGAATAATATTTCTGTACATGTTAAAAACAAAATCAACTCTCTGTATAAATATATCAGGTGACCGTTAAGGCCCATGGGCCTCTTGTTTATTATTAATTCAAATGGAGGCCTTTGGGGCTTTAAAGAGCTTCATTGTATATTAAAGTGGAGGCCTTAGGGGCTTTATCAGGCATCCTTTTTCCAATGAATAGGTCCACAGTTAAAATTGGGACCTGCAATTCAATGACGTCAGCTGAAGCTTTGAGCATTCTGGACTATCATTATAATCTGTTGTTATCAACAAAAGGTGCTTTTGCAGTATATTTAAAATATTAAATGTTCATCTTTATAGCAGACAAAGCTGACACAAAGAATATTGCTGCTTTCTTCTCATTTTGAAATTTGTAATCTCTATGTACAGGAGATGTTTATCTTTGTGGAGATCCTTATAAGGTTTCTTCAGACGGCCGCCATTTTGAAAACCTATTTCAAACTTAAAGTCAAGTTCTGCTGGACCGATTGAACTGAAAGTTGGTAGGAATGATCGCATCATGGTCCTGACAAAGTGTTGTTATTTTTCGGGTCAATCAGAAATACAATTTGGCTGCCATGGCCGCTATTTTGCTACTAAGTTCTAATAGGCCGATCTCACTTAAAATTGGTCTAGGAATGATCAGCCCATGGTCCTGACAAAGTTAAGTTAACATTATACTATTTTTTACTCAAATTGGTACATATTTCAACAGCAAAAATAAATACTGTAGACTCAGGTGACCGTTTAGGCCCATGGGCCTCTTGTCTAATTTAGTCGTAGACTATAGCCCAACCTATGAATGGGTTATACAATTTGCATGTATAAATTTGCTTTAATGGGACAATAAGCAATACTTACTCACAATATCGCCTTATAAATCCAAATGTTATTTTTAAACCCAAGTTAATTAGCTACTATAATCAATATATTGATTGGTACATGCTGAGATAGTCGTGCTAACCGGGGTAGAACACCAGTAGCCTAGGGCCCTTGTTTTCATTCAGAATAGAGAGGTTTTACTCTGGTTCAGTTAACGTAGTTTTGCGTTAGTGGAGCTATAAGTTAAAAGTCGTGTTTATGTAGATTAATAGACTGTACAGGGTTCAGTGAGACATACATTTATAGTAGATCAGGACTTCAGAAGTAACCTATTCCCTGATTCATGGAAAGTCACAACACATGTCAGATAGACTTGTCCTGTCAAACCCAAGAGTCATTTTTGGGAGTCAAAAACATACTACTCTCAAGGGTGTAATGAAAGCCCTGGTAGAGGGGTGACCTGTCAGTTTAGCCATTGGCCCTGTCCAGTGATATTTGGGGGCAGTTCATTTTGCAACAAAACAAGCTCTTAGGGCCAGTTGCTTATTTGCATGTGCATCCAAATAGTGATAAAATACATCATCCTGATAAATATATATAACACTGTTTAAATGCATAGAGGAAAAACAGGTTAATGTTGAAATATTTGGAAAGGGGATACTCTGCCCAGTGGGCCATCTTATCATTTACCCTCAATGAACCTTGGTAGTAGGTATACGTATAAACTGTATAAACAGGGGAAGTAATCCTGCTGAACTTACAATGATGGTCAATGATTTGGACACGATGTCAATAAGGCCATGCCATGTACCGCAGTAGAGGAAACATTTCATGTGTTCTTCCTAGTATCCTAACAGATACATGTAATAATTGTTTACTTTTTCATGAATTTCTATGCTATTAATGGATCTATCTAGTCAAACTACAAAAAGGATCAGTTATATTATGTCTGATTTATATATCTGTTTATTTATTTTGTTACATTTTTCTCTATAACTTAGTGCAAGGAATCTCTACCTGTGTTTATGATTAAAGTGGAAACTCATGTAATAGTTATTACTAATGTACAAATATATATATATATATGCTAGTTTCTTTAAGGAGAGTACATGTGTGCTACCAGTGTTATCCAATGGTAATTATAAGGTACATATCAATAAAATCACACAAGTGTTTTAATTTGACAATGGTCCTACATTGTATGTTAAATCAGACACAAATTAATTGAAAAGTGTCTCATGAATACTCTACCAGTTAACTGGGGGATAGTGGAACTAGAGGTTTGTGTCAACTGTCCAATTTGTGTCCGAAATTGCAGGTTGATTACGTGTTGATGAAAGTTTGAAAACATTTATCTTTTAGCAACGATCAAAAGTGAAGGTCCCAGTAGCAGTTGAAAGGATGACAAACTGCTTTTTTTAATATCCAATATGCGTCCAAAAATTATTTCCAAGAACTTCTAAATTGCTGCCCCTTTTCAATGAAATTTCCTATACAATATCTTGACCCTATACCACTTTCATAACCTTCAACGAAAGGCCAGGGTTGCAACATCTTGTTTCTGTTTGTGTATCGTTAAAATGCTGTCTGTTTTGGTGACCCTCAACGAGAAGTTAACATATAAAGAGGTCAGTGGAATGTAGGAGATATGTTTTATTCTGCAAATCTTCAGTATTGTATTTTGAATGTGAACAGATTCGGGGCCCATATTCATGAAACCATTCTCATGCTCAAGCATTGTTTGTGCTCAAACCAACTTTCTTGTAATTCACTTAAATCATGTCAAAAGCTCAAAAAGTAAAGCAAATGTAAACATTGGAATTAGTATTTGGCTTTAAGTCTCTTCAAATGTTTTCCAAATCGTTGACAAATTAAGATTTCATTAATTTATAAACGGAACAAGAAATTAAGCTGGAGCACAAAATCCATACTTGAGCATGAGATGGTTTCATGAATACAGGCCCTGAAGTAAACACCACTGTTCTTCTAGCCACATGGTTCATGCATCAGTTACTAAGTAAAGGTCATCAGTTACTAAGTAAAGGTCATCAGTTACTAAGTAAAGGTCATCAGTTACTAAGTAAAGGTCATTTTACTAAACTCCCATTCTGGGTGTAATTGCTTACATCAACATTCATATTACAGATATCTACCTGCCTGTAGCCTGGTGTGTAAATATACAGTAATATAAGGATGTTAACAACAATAACAAGTATTATCCTCTCTGGGAGTATCTCCTCAATAGTAATATTATCACTATTTTTATTTATATTGTTCAAGCCTCTATGTGATAATTGTTAGTCAGTGGCTACATTGCCTATCCCTATACGTGACGTCATTGTTTTCCATTATGTTGAACCATTTCCTCAGAAAATAAAGAGGTTTGCACACTGCTTCTCACCATCAGCAACCAAGCCTTTTACAAGGTGCTTATTGAATAATGAACAGTCAAAATAATAATGAATATTTTGGTCTCACGTAGCTACATATGTACTGCAAGTATGTCAAAATGGAAAAATGGTATCCAGGGTTTAATTCAAGGTTAAGTGCATGATGCAAAGGGTTGCTCACAGTCGTGCCTCAATCCTGATGTATAGTTTGCGATAATTTATGTGATATATTGTAACGTATGTCTTACATGACCTAAAAAATGTTATCTTACATCGGAAGGGTTATGTTTTTATGTTAATTATAAATGTAAAGAATGAATTTCATTATGAGTTTTTATTTTAAGTAATTAACCAAACTAAATTTCTTAAGTTTCTACTCTGTCTTGTACTAAAAAGATTTTTACCATAACAAATATCACACTGCGACCCTGTGCCATGGAGCAGTTCTAGTCAATACAAAATTGAAGGTTATAAAAGAGAATAGCTAGTTTTCAAATGCTACAATGAACTCACCTTATCCTTATTATTGTTTATAGATACACATTCCACAGGTGATTGTGATATACTGTATATATGTACATTTGTTAATTCATAGATATGCTGATTTTCATCTGTTTGTACAGGATCTGATTGTAAATACATTCACGTTGAAATAAATTTTTATTTGTAATTAATTGTCTGTTTTGAATACTACATGTACTTCTAACACATACCAGTGCATGTTGATTGAAATTATTCTCTCTGAAAATTAACATTGAATTGAAATTTACCATTCCCCAAGTTTTATCATAGGAATTTAAGGCGATTGTCAAATATATTTGTAAAATTCTATCCCCCATGTGTCCTGAAAATAAAGATTTCTAAAGAGAGATATCCAAAATTGTAATTAGTCAACATATTTTAACAGATGAACAGTTTAATATTTTTAGTATATTTGTCGGGTACTGGCCGTAGGTCAGTGGTTTTTCTCAAGGAACTCTGGTTTTCCTCCACCACCAAAACCTGGCACGTCCTTAAATGACCATAGCTATAATAGGACGTAAAACACAAACAAAACAAAACCAAACCAAATACTTGACAGCCATCTTGGAATTCTGCAGTGGATCTGTAAGGGATTCCCCTTCAGATGTCTTACACTTCCAGATGAAGCGTTAGCAAGTGTCCATGTTCTTTCATTTGTCTGATGAAGGTGACAGGGTATGTATCATACTAGTCTCTGAAAGGTCACATATAGACACTTACTTGTGGTGATACAACAAATTTCTGCCAATGGTATCCATCCAGACGAATACGTACCATGCATGCTGTGCAGTATCCTTCCACACGAATACGTAGCACGCATACTGTGCAGTATCCTTTCACACGAATACGTACCATGCATGCTGTGCCTTATCCTTACTCATGAATACGTAGCACGCATGCTGTGCAGTATCTTCAGAAATCTGACCTGAAGGCCAAAGTCTTAAAATGAAATTGGAAGGAATAAGAATGACCCTATATTACAGATATATCATTGCGCAAATAGGTCTTAAACTTACTGATATTGTGATTCAAAATATAATAGAAGGCATGGTTGTCTAGTGGTAGGACGCCAGGCTCGTGACTGAAGGGTTGCGGATTCGAGTCACGGCACCGCGCAGTGTTGCATCTTTAAGCAAGTTACTTTACTCCGCTTGTTCCAGTCTACTCAGCTGTAAATGGTTGGGCAGTGCTAGAATTGTAGAATGCTAGCTGTGAGCGCCGAAATGGCCGCTCCGGTTGAATGCTCCCCAGGGAGTGGAGAAAGGTATTGGCTGGTTGCAAAGGCCCTATAACCACAGATAACAATTTGTGAACCGCTTTGAGATGACATACGATAAGATAAGATATTTTAAAATCTTTATGGGTTGAAATCATGAAATGGCGACAGCTTGAGAAGAAATCCTGTTATTTGTTTATCGTGAAAAGACTAACAACAACAAATGTATGATCTTATAAAAATGTTTATGTAGTGCATTGCATTCCCAATCATTCCAATAGTTAACAAGTCTTACTATTACAACAAGAGTGAGCTCCCTTGTAGAATACAATTTCCTGTAAGATGAAGTTAGCCTATACATAGGGTACTCTGTATCTCTATTTACAAGCTGGTAAAGATATGTACAATACTGTATATATTTTTATATATAGAATCAATATATAAAGGATGTACCATAGCAAAACAATCAGGATGATCAAATAAAATTTGCACTCGTGATTCACATTAATACACTTTTAAATCTTCCTCTCTCAAACGAAACAACAACAACTTGCACTTAGATGAAACACACATGAACACGGGGGATAATATACATAAATAACACTTACAGTACAGTCGACTTGTTGAATTACACTTCTGTCTGTAATAAATCCAGTCTCGTTAACTCACTTTCTGGTGATTACTCCATGAATCTTAATTCAAAAGCGCTTTCCTTGCCAATTTGTTCCTAAATTCATTATTCATGTAACCGTTCTCAAGCTCAAACTAAAGTCACATGCTCAAACCAGCTTTCTATTGCTGTAACCTAACAAGGTCTTGTGACGGGGTCAATAAGCAAACATTAACAGTGGAATGGTACTTTGCTTCAGTTTAAATTCAGCTATTTTATCTCTGAGTTTGACTCTGAAAATTGTTTCATGAACATGGGGCCCATGAAAAGACCCCGACGCCATACGTTATATGACTGATCGTAAAAAAAGTAATTCTAGTTATGTATTTTGTACAAAAAAGCTCAAATGTTGTTTTCCTCATGATCTTTGTTCAAGTTGTATGAATAATTTGACCTACAGAAAAAGATTTGTTACAAAGCCATTTTGATGAGATTTTTTTGTATTTTCTTAGGATGACTCAGTTTGAGGCATAACATTCTGCTGCTAATCGTGGTTTAATCACCAAAAAGAGGGCCACCGAGACAAGTGGAATACAATCTTGAGTTTTGTTATACCAGTAGATAATTATATTTTAAATTGATCCTTCTACCCAGTACGTACCTCAATTGAATACACAAAGCTGAAGCACAGTACCTTGTTGATATACACAAGATTGACTTCTGAATCAACTTTTCTATCTTGAAGTCACTTTCAAACTTATTAAAAATTATTGCACAGCAGCACTTAGTATATTCATAAGTTTATTTATTATGAGAGAAATGTTTGCAAGTCGCAGTAGCTGTCAACAGTATGAATCTGATAATATTATGTTTCAATTTTGTCAAACTGATCACTTAAAGTCAACATTTCATTGGAACACTTTGAGGCTCTTATAGATACCAAACTCTGACAAACTCAAAATCCCTGTAAAACATACGATTACGTTTATAGAAACTGACCTTGACAGACCCAGATACCTGTATAACCTCTCATTGATGTAAACAGACCTTAAGTTATGCCAAAGTCTGGAACGACTCCCCTTATCTCATGAACAGATACTGACCGCGGAAACACCTTGAAATCAAAATCAGTATGCTACATACTTATTTACTTTAAGGAGATTTTTGCATTTGAAAAAAAATAAAAATATTCAAGACACTTGCAAATAAAAAATAAAAATAAGTACAGCAAAGATACAGCAGGTGTATTGTACACAATCATTTATTTAAAATCCTTATACTCTAAAACTTCTTTGTTTCGTTGGTGCAATGATTTGAGAATTAATAGTTCATGAATATCATTTTCACTTTAATATTGTCATGGAAATATATGGACTTGGAAAATAGCAAAACATTAGGACCATGTAAAAAATAGAAGTAGCATCTGCTATAGTCAATGGTTTAGCAAAATAATCTGTTAGGACATGAATCGTGAACGTAACCCTTGTTTAAAGGGTTAAAACATAAATAAAATATTGATATACATCAATTAGTTAATTGAAATTCTACACAAGATGTCGGCTACAATTAGATATTGGTTAGGAGTAATCAAGAACATCATTTCAAGATGAAAATATCTCCATAAAATCCTTTATGCAGATATTCTATCTTTGCGTATTGCAGAGTTATCTTCTCTTGTGAGCAGGTATTCTTATTGTTACGTCATTGGTTTGCGTGAGAAAATTACGTCGTTTTCTCAAAAATTGATGACGTTACTCTCACAAACCAATGACGTAACAATCAATACCTGCTTATAAGAGAAGATAACTCTGCAATACGCAAAGACGGAATAGAACATTTGATATAATAATTAATTATTAATATAACATTCAAAAAAATATGTCAGACAAATATTGATCCAAATTCTTTCATTCCATCAAACACACTCTTTGTTCTTTATGTACCTATTATCTTATCAACAGTTAAAAGGCCATGGCTTCACATACATGGCTCAAATATAGTTCAGACTCCTCCTTAACTGAAGCGAAGGTTTCCCTATGAGGACATTTAAATTGTTGTAAAATTCTAAATAATGATGTTTAATGAAACTGAAGCCAGGTTTACACAAAGCAGTTATAAATCAACCTATAAAGATGGGTGGTGAGCTTATAGTGAATAAAAACAAACATAAATATAACTAAATTACACAAACAAAACAATATGGTTACAAAAATAAAAGTGAATGACAAATAAGCGATTATCCAGGACTTGGTCATACCAAGCTTCACTTATAAATAACGTCACATCCAGGTAAATTTTTACGCACTGGAATATCATAATTTATAATTGCAAATAAAATAGGCAAAATAATCCCACTCAGATAGAAATATGTTCATATGTTTTTCAGATAATTAAACTTCAAATTTTGATATACTTTATTATTTAACTAGTGAAGCTTGTAGCAACTGTACCCTGGACCAACAAACAAATAGACACTACAATGGTATTCAGCCCGACACATTGAAAACAAAAACCAATTTATTTTTATATCCCTAACTCAATCTACTGGAATGTTATATATCCTCACATAAATGTATATATATAGGTATATACACATTAAGGGTCAAATGATTACCTGGCAATGTAGCTGAACTATAATGAAGACACAGTCATTTAAAATCTCCATGACCAGGTACAGAGAACCATACAGTGTAACATCTAGAATGTTACAGGTAAAAAAAGTCAGGTAAAAAACATGAGGATCATATCTTACAAAATGAACAGGATATCTTCAAATTATATAAAGAATGTGTCGAATATTCCTTGTGCAGACATATATAAATATATAAAAGTGATTGTTAATGTTTCCTCACTGATATATATTGCATCACCAGTCGTGGAATGTAATTCCTAGATTATAAGTCAGATGCCTGCCGTATGATACATCAGTCGACGGCGGTAATACCAACACTCACTTGATATTGCACTTGTGTACACAATTACTAACTCATTATGCATTTTATTTGTGGAATAAATTCAATTAACAGGAGTACTAGTCAAACAAAAAGATTCTATCTGCAGTCACTGGTTATTATAATGTAGATTATCAGATTAAAAAATACAGGTGCTTACCAGTGTTATTTTTCAGTGAAGTGAAACAAGAACTTTGTAACACCAATACTTCCTGAATTAAACACAGCAGATTTAAAATCATAATAATTAAAAAAAAAAAAGTTTAACATCTATGAAACTTTCATCAATATAATAAATGGATGATAAGAAAATCTGTCTTTTTCATTGTACAGTTAACCCCCTATAATTTGTTTTATAAAATAAATCATATCCTGATACACAGCTACTTTCTTTTATCTAAATCCTTATTAAACTAATACTCATTTAAAGTGATGTTAACCCTTTCACCCCTAGGTAACTTTAGTAGATTCTACCATACCTTTATCTGGATGAGTCCATTGTGGTCCACAGTGGTGAAAGGGTTAAATATGCTGTAAATACTGTATATAAAACAAGAGACCTTCTTGGAGCAGTGAGATTTCTGCTGGTCAACAATGATATACTTCTTTCAATAGCTACATTAACCCAGGAATGTTATTAATCTATATCATAATCTAGTGAATTGATCAATATGCACTGAATAAAATCTACACAAGGGAGACAACTCATTATACAAAAATTCCAGTTTGACATAATCTGCATTATAGTTAACTTCACAACCTTGTTTAAAATATCTTCCTGTACTTTTAACTCCTAGCACTCTTACAGGTAATATCTATACTGGTACATATTTATATGGGAAGATCAGTCACAGGTACAAAATATAACATCACATATGGTAACAGTGAATCATAAGGGTAGTTTACTGCATTTTACCACTGATAAGCCCACAGTCATAAATAAGCCTGTCACTTGACACAAGCCCCACCTCCTCAGTCAATTCTGAGACAAGCCCCACCCACCTTGATTTTTTCTTTTAGACTTTTTAATGTTCAATTGGAAAGTTTCTGCTTAATTACAAACATATTTAAAAATCCAAAATGTGTATTCCTAAAAAGTCTTCACATCTTTTCAAATAAAGAATTAACATTCCAGATTCACTTGTGATCAATGTGCTTATCACCAATAAAATCAGTTAACTTTAATAATACTCTCATCACATATCTACACAGAAAAAGTCTTTATCTATAATTGAGCATTTGATTACGTGTAATTACTATGGAAGTCAATATGTACACCTAACCAGTGTCCTGCTAGGCCCGGTTAGATGTCAGAAGAAGCTGTGTTACAGGTGTGTTCCTCCAGACCCTGTTAGATGAACTATGTCACCGTACATCTAACCAGTGTTTCTACAGGCCCTAAACAGATTTCTGAAGTCGCTGTGTATATAGTACATTTGTACCAGTACTTCTCTTGGCCTGGTAAGATGGTCAAAGAATAATGACTTATTTATACAGAAAAAACACTTTAGTGATTAACTTGCGCTTTGAATTACAGCTCAAATTTATATTTCAAAGCTGCCTGGTAGCCTAGTTTGACAGAATCACTACCTCCATCATCCCCTCTCTAACCACTGAGTAACATAAACACATTTATATAAAACAGATGCAGCCTCAGTACATAAATGTAAATAAAGTAGGTGTATTTTGAGGACTTCTTAAAGCGGCCTACATCTATTTAGAATATTTTTCTTTCAATTCTGTGCTTCTTAAATATAATATTATAAATACTCCAAGCCAATTCTGCAAAGCTTAAATCTGATAAAAGATAAATATATTTCTAATCTAACCAACTTAAGTTTCAAATAACTACAGCAAAATGTGTAAGAGTGTAATTTACTGTGGATATAGACCCCAACCCTGTATAATCAGTAGTATATACCTTACTTTAGTTTTATCACATATATCATATCAACAAAAACTGAAACTGTGTGATTGGTCTCAATGGTTTGGTTGTTTAAGACATGTGAACTAACCCCTAATAACTTATGTAGTCTGTATATTGAACTAACCCTTAGTAACTTATGTAGTCTGTATATTGAACTAACCCTAAGTAATTTATGTGGTCTGTATATTGAACTAACCCTTGGTAACTTATGTAGTCTGTATATTGAACTAACCCTTAGTAACTTATGTAGTCTGTATATTGAATTAACTCCTAGTAACTTATGTAGTCTGTATATTGAACTAACCTCAAGTAATTTATGTGGTCTGTATATTGAACTAACCCTTAGTAACTTATGTAGTCTGTATATTGAACTAACCCTTAGTAACTTATGTAGTCTGTATATTGAACTAACTCCTAGTAACTTATGTGTTCTGTATATTGAACTAACCCTTAGTAACTTATGTGGTCTGTATATTGAACTAACCCTCAGTAACTTATGTAGTCTGTATATTGAACTAACCCTTAGTAACTTATGTAGTCTGTATATTGAACTAAGCCTTAGAAACTTATGTAGTCTGTATATTGAACTAACCCTTAGTAACTTATGTAGTCTGTATATTGAACTAACCCTTAGTAACTTATGTAGTCTGTATATTGAACTAACTCCTAGTAACTTATGTGTTCTGTATATTGAACTAACTCCTAGTAACTTATGTAGTCTGTATATTGAACTAACCCTTAATAACTTATGAAGTCTGGATATTGAACTAACCCCTAGCAACTTATGTAGTTTGGATATTGAACTAACCCCTAGCGACTTATGTAGTTTTGATAATGATGTAACCCCTGGTAACCTAACTTATGTAGTTTGGATAATGATGAATCCCCTAGTAACCAAACTGATGTAGTTTGGATAATGATGTTGGGCCTAGTAGCATAACTGATGTAGTTTGGATAATGATGTAACCCCTAGTAACCAAACTGATGTAGTTTTGATAATGATGTTAGGCCTAGTAACCTAACTGATGTAGTTTTGATAATGATGTTTGGCCTAGTTACCTAACTGATGTAGTTTGGATAATGATGTAACCCCTAGTAACCTAACTGATGTAGCTTGGATAATGATGTAACCCCTAGTAACCTAACTGTTGTAGTTTGGAAAATGATGTAACCCCTAGCTACTTAACTTATGTAATTTTGATGTTGAGTTTCTATTTCAATCAATATAATGATCACCTAATAGCCTTGATGAAGTAATTTACTTGGAGAAAGATATAAGGTGTCAGTTTCCAGTTAAAACAGACATGACTTCTGTATAACGAAATCTTTGTCATTGTGGAATTCTGATTGTTACATGATCCACTTTTGTTAAATCGTTCCACAGTAATACACACATGTAGAGCAATAAATTTGTTTCAAATTCCATATCTCTTCAATATTCTTTTACAAGTACATCAAATAGCGATTGATATCACATAGAACTACACTGATGATTCCCGGGGTAATGATTCTGAGGTGAGGATTCATGGTAACCATTTGAACATTTTACCCTTCCTGCAGTTTCATTGTTTGTTGCATATTTAAGAGAAAATCTAACACATCTCTAAAGGCATCACAAAATGACACAACAGCCCTGTTTTTCATCGCCCCCAATAGCAGGCGAGTGACCAGGAGCAGTGAAGCGCCGTATACCTTCCGAGTGGTTTGGATAAGACTTCATATTGTTATTATGGCCGTTGCTGTCAGTATGATGGTCAGAGTTGTCTTCCCTGGGCAGTGTGGAGCTGCTGTATTTCTTGCTGTTACTGTTGAGGCCGCTGAGGAACAGATTCTGCACCTGTGTGTCAATTGTACTGTTCTCACGACTGCGAGACTCAGACCGGTGCTTTTTCAAGTCTGCCAGAGTAATGGAGGGTGTCCCAGAAGGGTACCTGACATTTGACTCTGGGGCAGATTGATCCTCCTTTTCCTCTTCAATATCTTCAATACCTTCCTCCTCTTCAAATGGTTCTGCCTTCTGCCTCTGCGGTGGGCTTTGTTCTGACTTTCTTGTAAAGCTGTGTTTTTTAGTTAACCCAGGACCTCCCTGTTGGACTGACCCTTGACCTGACTCCTGACTTGGCTGCTGATTGGCTGTTGGGTTAGAGGCTGATGGTCGGTCTACTGTGGAAGTTCGATTCACAGTTTTTGTTTCATTAGGTGATTTCGATTTACTGTTTCTGTGCTGTTGCTTGCGATTATCCATCGTATCTGAAAGATTACGAGAATATTCCACAGTGTCGGTATTTCCATTAAGTGAAGTCTCCACAAAGGATTGAGGTTTCCGCTTGTTGTCATCCGCGTCATCAATAATAAGTTGAACATCATCAATGTTTGTTGACGGGAGGTTTTCCTTTTCATCTTCCTGTAATTCAAAGGTTAAATGATTGTGAGAACAAGAACTTATTGACATGTCTATGTTCAATGCTAGTAACAATACATATAAATGATTGTGAGAACAAGAACTTAATGACATGTCTATGTTCAATGCTAGTAACAATACATATAAATGATTGTGAGAACAAGAACTTAATGACATGACTTTGTTCAATGCTAGTAACAATACATATAAATGATTGTGAGAACAAGAACTTAATGACATGTCTATGTTCAATGCTAGTAACAATACATATAAATGATTGTGAGAACAAGAACTTAATGACATGACTTTGTTCAATGCTAGTAACAATACATATAAATGATTGTGAGAACAAGAACTTAATGACATGTCTATGTTCAATGCTAGTAACAATACATATAAATGATTGTGAGAACAAGAACTTAATGACATGACTTTGTTCAATGCTAGTAACAATACATATAAATGATTGTGAGAACAAGAACTTAATGACATGTCTATGTTCAATGCTAGTAACAATACATATAAATGATTGTGAGAACAAGAACTTAATGACATGACTTTGTTCAATGCTAGTAACAATACATATAAATGATTGTGAGAACAAGAACTTAATGACATGTCTATGTTCAATGCTAGTAACAATACATATAAATGATTGTGAGAACAAGAACTTAATGACATGTCAATGTTCAATGCTAGTAACAATACATATAAATGATTGTGAGAACAAGAACTTAATGACATGACTTTGTTCAATGCTAGTAACAATACAAGATATTTTCATTTTTTCTGTAATTTCTAGCACCCAACCCAAGAGGTTTAAAAGTCACTTTCATTTATATTCAATTGCAAACTGTACCTAGCATCAGCGATGGAATAATATTCAACTTGTATTAAGAAGTTAATCACTACATAAAACCAAAGTTCATTTTTACAGGACTACACTTTTTTCTGATATCAAATATAGTTGTGAGATATTTTGCTGTTTGTCTCGGAAATTAGTTTCTGAGAATTTAATGCAGATATGCCAATGTTCAGAAGGAAGTTGTTTTATTCATCATTTTAAAAGGAACAGATAAACATGAAATGAATTTCATCCTCCACAGCTCCAGAACTGCACAAAACATGTGTCTGTTTATTAGTGGCCTCTTTCCTATATTGCCGAGTCTCTACTCTCAAGGGTAGTATCCCATACCATAATTGTGTCATAATGGATCTCTCTGATTTCTTGAGGTTCATTGTAATGTATCGTTCCAATTAATAAGATGTTTTAACTCAATAAAGTTTCTCAGTTTGGGAAAAAATTCCCGTTAACAAAAGTGAGATTATTCCAGTATTATACATATGATGTGTTCTGGTAAAATACTAGTGCAATAGTGATCCACTCAAAATACATAGCACAGATAAAAGTATGGAATGAATTCTACACCACAGTACAATACAAGTCCTCCCAGCTAGGTCACAGGTAAGGACTGGTAAATACAAGTCCTCCCAGCTAGGTCACATGTAAGGACTGGTAAATACAAGTCTTCCCAGCTAGGTCACAGGTAGGGACTGGTAAATACAAGTCCTCTCAGCTAGGTCACAGGTAAGGCCTGGTAAATACAAGTCCTCTCAGCTAGGTCACAGGGAAGGACTGGTAAATACAAGTCTTCCCAGCTAGGTCACAGGTAAGGAATGGTAAATACAAGTCCTCCCATCTAGGTCACAGGTAAGGACGGGTAAATACAAGTCCTCCCAGCTAGGTCACATGTAAGGACTGGTAAATACAAGTACTCCCAGCTAGGTCACAGGCAAGGACTGGTAAATACAAGTACTCCCAGCTAGGTCACAGGGAAGGACTGGTAAATACAAGTCTTCCCAGCTAGGTCACAGGTAAGGCCTGGTAAATACAAGTCCTCTCAGCTAGGTCACAGGGAAGGACTGGTAAATACAAGTCTTCCCAGCTAGGTCACAGGTAAGGCCTGGTAAATACAAGTCCTCGCAGCTAGGTCACAGGTAAGGAATGGTAAATACAAGTCCTCCCATCTAGGTCACAGGTAAGGACGGGTAAATACAAGTCCTCCCATCTAGGTCACAGGTAAGGACGGGTAAATACAAGTCCTCCCATCTAGGTCACAGGTAAGGACTGGAAAATAAAAGTCCTCCCAGCTAGGTCCCAGGTAAGGACTGGTAAATAAAAGTCCTCCCAGCTAGGTCACAGGTAAGGACTGGTAAAGCAAGTTATAATCATTAAATTTCAAATAGGTGAAACTTGTAACACATTACATGACATCTATGAGGTGCATTTGCATATTAATTCAATCGTGAGTTACAATCTGAATGACATTTTAATGATTTTGATTTCAAGTGTAGAATTGAAATACTTGTCAAGTGTTTTCAGACTAGCAGATAACAGATGACACATCTGATGAAATGAACCATTCAAACTAGGGTTTTCATATTTCTATGTGAGATTCATGGTGACTTCTTTTTCCTTTTTTAAATTGTAAGGGCCAGAAATGCGATTGAATTTTGCTGGTTTTGTTTTATTATGTCCCATTGAGCTGCCACTGAGATAGATAGCATTACCACAATATCCTCATCATTATCCTTCCTCCAGCCGAAATGTAATGCCTCCTCCTTGGCTTCTTTCATAAACAGCGGATTCTTTTCTCCACGCATACTACTTCTCCTGATGGAGGCACTGCAACAGACAGAAAAACAAGGTAAGGGAGATAATCTACAAACAAGGGTAGATAATCAGTAAGGGTGTCAGAAGTACTAGTGATGTCTTCTTTTTGTGTGAGAGTTATTTTCTCTATTATTGTAAAATATTGTACAAAAAAACCCACTTAAATGGGAGAAAACATTCAATGTTGTCCTAGAATTGACGTTTAGATAACAACAGACCTCAAGCATTCTTGCAAGATGTAAAAGGCCTATGTAATAACGACCTTTGCCGAATATTCCTTCAATTAATCTGAACTTTTTCTATTACCTGATTTCCCAATTTAGAATAGATAAGTTGGTTATTTGGATAGAGAAAAAAAGTCACATGTGTGACCTAATGTCATAACATCAGTACACTACTGGTACATGTACTGACTGTCTGTGACCAAATGTTATAACAGTAGTACAATACTGGTACTGTCTGTCACATGTGTGACCCAATGTCATAACATTACTACAATACTGGTACTGTCTGTCACAAGTGTGACCTAATGTTATAACATTACTACACTACTGGTACTGTCTGTCACATGGGTGACCCAATGTTATAACAGTAGTACAATCCTGGTACTGTCTGTCACAGTTGTGACACAATGTCATAACATTACTACAAAACTGGTACTGTCTGTCACATGGGTGACCCAATGTTATAACAGTAGTACAATACTGGTGCTGTCTTGGCACACGTGGGACCTAATTTTATAACATTACTACAATACTGGTAATGTCTGTCACATGTGTGACCCAAAGTTATAACAGTAGCACAATACTGGTACTGTCTTGTCACACGGGTGACCTAATGTTATAACATTAATACAATACTGGTACTGTCTGTCCCATGTGTGACCCAATGTTATAACAGTAGGACAATACTGGTAATGTCTTGTCAAATGTTTGACCAAATGTTATAACAGTAGAACAATACTGGTACTGTCTTGTCACACGGGTGACCTAATGTTATAACATTAATACAATACTGGTACTGTCTGTCACTTGTGTGACCAAATGTTATAACATTAATACAATCCTGGTACTGTCTGTCAAATGTGTGACCCAATGTTATAACAGTAGAACAATACTGGTACTGTCTTGCAACACGTGGGACCTAATGTTATAACATTACTTCAATACTGGTACTGCCTGTCATATGTGTGACCAAACGTTATAACAGTAGTACAATACTGGCACTGTCTGTCACATGTGTGACTTAATGTTATAACATTACTACACTACTGGTACTGCCTGTCATATGTGTGACCAAACGTTATAACAGTAGTACAATACTGGTGCTGTCTTGGCACACGTGGGACCTAATTTTATAACATTACTACAATACTGCTACTGTCTGTCACATGTGTGACACAATGTTATAACATTACTACAAAACTGGTACTGTCTGTCACATGTGTGACCCAATGTTATAACAGTAGCACAATACTGGCCATGTCTAATATAATTTTAAAAAGTTAATCTAGTGCAATATAGTTGTAAAAACAAAAAACATGAAAAAACATGCATAAAAAGTATATATGATTCGCTTCAAACACACACAAAAAACACTTTAATTATATGTGTATCAGACTACATATGTTATTGAAATTCCTAATCCCCAATTTCTTCAATGTTGATGTTGACTTAAAGTCTTTTATCAGAAATAACTGTATTAATAAATTGAACAAATACCATATATGGTCTCTCGTATGTGTAGTATTTAGTAAGGTAGCATCTGATTTCATAGTATTTTTTCTGCAGCATCATAGTTTCTGTCCAATTCGGTTTTGACAAGTTTTGTGTTACATCAATACTAAACAGTATGTTGTTCATGTGTATGACGATGTTATACTTTAAGTTAAGCCATCTAGATATTTTGTTATGTTTACATCATCCATTTAGCTAATTTACTTATGTCAGAGACAAAAATTGACATTCATTTTTTTTTGAGAAGGAGACAAAATTAGGGAGGGGGCTTAATTGCAGGCACCCACCCTGTTCCCAGGACATTTGCCAAAGTAGGGAGGGGGCTTATTTGCGAGAGGGAGCTTATTTGCGGTCAAATACGTTATTGTATCACCTGTTGTCATCTGAACAAACCTCAAGCTGAACAAGTTTTTTCTAATTTCACTAAAAGCTTATAAATATCTGAGCATACAGTTATACAAAACAAGAGGCCCAGGGGCCTTAATAGCTCACCTGGTATTTTATTTTTCAATTTAAAACCTGCTGAGAACTATACAGGTTTATCAAAGGAGTACAAGAAACAAAGTTGCAAGAAGAACTACATATAAATCTGTTTTGGTGGGAAAGACACCAAGAAAATGAGTTTCCATGTTATGTCTCAATTTACTCTATTTCCCCTATTGGGCTTCACATGCACCTTTTTCCCCTAAGCATGCTTCAGACCACATTTGGTTTAAATCCCTTCATTTGTTTTGTACAGAAGGGAAAATAGTTTTCTCTATTTCCCTTAATGGGCCCCACTCCTCTGCTCCTGGGGGGAAGGGCACATCTTCCATTTATAAATATTCAATTTCCTTTGCCCAAAGATTCTCTAGAACAAGTTTGGTTAAAATCCCTTCAACGGTACAGAAGGAGAACTATCTTTAATGTTTTCCTCTATTTCCCCTAATAGCCACCCATCTGCCCCCAAAGAATATACAAAACTGAGAACCCTTTGGCCAATGATGCTCCAGACCAAATTTGGTCAAAATCCTCAGAGCCGTTCAGGACTATTAGCGTTTTAAAGGAAAAAGTTGACGGACGCTGCGCCATGGCATAAGCTCACTTGGCCCTTCGGCCCAGGTGAGCTAAAAAACAACATGCAATATTTAGTATGAAACAATTATATGAAAAACCTAATAACAAAACACAAAAGGCCCATTCTCATTTATTGGTAGATATACTAAATGAGTTATTTATTACAGTTAGTAAACAATGGCAATCAAATGCCGATTCCCATGATAACCCTAAAACCATGGGTACTGATATCAGAGCCAATCAGAACACTGCAAATCTATGGCGTAAGTGTTCCAATATAGGTTACTACCTGAGGTGTTGATCTTGGGCGGTTCCCTTATGTCTGAAAGAAATAGTCTCTCTATTGTATAAGCAAGTCACACCTCAGTCAATGGTTAAAGAAAACGGTGAGAAAAGACATATATTTCGGCTCTGTAGGTAACAAAATGTTTACTTGATGATATAGTCAATTCAAAAGAGGGATCCATATACACAGATATTAGCGACCAAAAGATTTTAAGGATTTGATTGAATTTACATTGCTTCTACAGACACATTCCCCAGCCTGTTTTTAACATTTATACATTTGTAAGAGCCTTTAAATGTAGATGAATCAATGTTTGGGTCAATATCTTTTCCTCTAGATCTCTAGAACACAGAAATTTTGACCAAGAGTTGATTACACCAAATTCAAGGGAGACTACCCACCATCAAAGCCTGAAGAGATTTATCAGTAACGGTGGAATCAATATGATTATCTCTATTTTCCAGCTTTTAGGACGCATTGGAGATCTAATTCTCCATCAATGAGATCAATTACAGCTGCAAGCAGACACTACTCCCAGAGATTTATCAACTTCATTCCATATCGTTCTATCAACAGTCAATTTTCGTTACCAATTCAATTTTCGAAATAGCTACTTGATTTGTTTTTAATTAGTTTTCATTGATGAAGTGCCTTTGTTTTAAAATACCCCTGAATGAGATGGTTACTAAAGTTTAAAATAATAATGTAAAATACAAGACATTGAAATGCAATTTGATTATTTGAAACATGTTAAAATAAGCATACAGCCATGATAATCAAGATGTACAATTTTGTTGTAAAACAAAGCAAATAATATGATTTTTAAACATGCTAGAAATATTGAACAAAACTGAATAAACAACATAAACTGAAAATGTAACAGAAAAGCACATGCAGGAGAATGCACTGTAATTAAAAATAACACAAATGCCAATATTATAAGGAAATACTTTTATGTTTTTCTTTATTCTTGATACATATGTACTATGAAATTTGTCTTCGATCTCAAATGTCTCATTCCTATGCTTTGCTTACATTTCATCAATATTCTTCATTTAACTCAAAAAGTAATGATACATAGTTGATGGACAAATAGCTATTCTAAAATAATAAAATATGCATGCATTCTTCAAATATCCTAAATTCAAAATTAGATGTAATATTCAATTACAGATAAGGACTGCAACTAGAACACTGACAGGTCAGTAAAGGCCCAGTTTTGTGGCAATATATCCCCCATAATCATCAAGAAGCAATCTGCCCATATAGCTGAGCTTGACGTTTGATATGTGGAATTCCAAAAAGAATCGCAAGGAAGCAAAATATACATTTTACATGTACTATGATGTGAGTCTTGTTTCCTTCCACCTCCATATTTGCTGGGCTAACAGAAATGTAAATACTGGTGCAATACTCATTTGTTAGCTTTGAATTGTTTTATTTAACCTTATATACCTCCTCCATCAAAAGCCAGGGTCAAAGTCAGAGATCCACTTTGTCTTTGACCTTTGGACCCAAATGACCTTGACCATTAACCCAGTGACCCTGATCTTTGGTCAGTTGATTTATTCTTTAATTCCGACCAACCTTGCTCCTTAATATCATAACAAAATGTTCATCAGTGAAAATACAAAACTTGACCTTGACCCTTTGAAACCCGTAACCTGGACCTAATGACGGTCAGTTGACTCTGTGTTAAGTTCTGAACAACATTGCTTCATAATGTCATAACAAAATGTTCATCAAGGAAAAGATACAACATTTAACCTTGACCTTTGACCCAGTGATCTTGACCTTTGGTCAATTGATTCCTTGTTTAATCTGCGCTACATTGCTTCAAAGTGTCATAGCGAAATGTTCACCAGTGAAAAGATACAAAATTTGGCCTTGACCCCTGACCAGATGACCTTGACCTTTGGTCAGTTGTCTCCTTGTTTAATTCTGATCAACTTTGCATCATAATGTCATAACAAAATGTTCATCAGTGAAAAGATGTTAAATTTGACCTTGACCTTTGAACCTAATGACCTTGACCTTTGACCTCCACTTTTTACCTCAGTGTGTCTCTTTGTTTAATTTCAAACAACTTTGCTCCATAATGTCACAGCGAAATGTTCACCAGTGAAAAGCTACAAAATTTGACCTTGACCCCTGACCCGATGACCTTGACCCGATGACCTTGACCTTTGGTCATTTGACTCCTTGTTTAATTCTGATCAACTTTGCTTCATAATGTCATAACAAAATGTTCATCAGTGAAAAGATGTAAAATTTGACCTTGACCTTTGAACCTAATGACCTTTGACCTTTGACCTTGACTTTTCACCTCAATGTGTATTTTTGTGAACTAAACATCTTGACCAAGTTTCATGTGCATCGGTCAATAAATACCGAAGTTATCAGCCAGGAACAAAATTTGTGGACGGACAGACAGACAGACAGACAGACAGAGTGATTACTATAGGGCACGCGTATCTCCGATACGGGATCCTAATTAATAAATGGAAAAGTAATTACACTATTTATTTATTTTTTTGCTAGAAAATAGCGCTGGTTGAAAAATGGGATCTTACACCATGCAGATCGACTTTCTACAAACATAACCTATGAACTACAGACACACTAGTAAGTGATCTGAAGAGCTTGGGATGGAGTATACTATCTACACATCTTTACTGACCAGTAAACACATATTGCCATAGGAAAGATACCATTTCATCGAGGTCCATGTAATCTAATTACTGATAGTGGCATTTGTTACCTTTGACCCCCTCCAATTTACTGCTGCTGATCCTAATGACCATCAGTCAAAGCTTTTCCTATAAACTACCCATGACCTTTGACCTTGTTATCGATGTAAGTTCACTTGATTTAAACGTGGTAAGTTTCCTTTTAAGGGTCATAGTACTCTTGTCCACACAAATTTTGTTGCTAACGATCTTGAACAAGACATTTTGTGAATTTTGAAATGACCTACAAATGCACAAGTAACGTCAGACAAAATTCTACATAGCACTTTAACGATAAATAAAGTCAGACCAAAACAAATCTTTGACAGAAAATTCTGAAAGCTGATCTCTGAAAACAACAAAATGCTTCCTCCAAAATGTTTTGTTCATACAACATTTATAATCATCGACCAAACAAAGAAGCCTCGGAGCTGTCCATTCCTGTTTACAGGAGGCCAACACAATGTGTACGAGTGCTTCTCTTGACAGTTGGTGTGAATACAGACAGCAGAATTGTGGTATAGATATGTATAGCAATCAATGTCGCCACAACGTTTGCCTTGTATGTGCGACTTTGGGGTGTTTATCCCAAGCTAATAGTGGGCTGTCTGGTTAGAAGTCCACATCACCAGACCAATATATCGTGGCCAATTTCTATACAGAACTATTGCTCCCCTGAGCCGATCTGAGCTTGGTTGATAAGCACACAGACCATACCGCTCTGTCAGACACTATATCATGGACATTCCCTTGTCCAGGCAGTCTTGGTGGGACCATGCAAGCCCTAGGGGCCTTACAGTTCTCTTCATCACAATAGCTCAGCTCAAGTTTGGTCATTCAGGCTAGCGTGAGACTACTCCTAGGTCAAGTAAAGAGAGCCACACCAAATATCTCTTATATCTGCTGGTCCTATTACTGTGTCTGATGTAGGAGTCTCTCAGTATTGGAACTTCTGTTTCAATATTTGTGTTTTGCAGCAACAGCCAACTTAGTAAATTGTATATCAAATACCTTTAAAGAAAATGAACTGCAGATTCCAGCTGAATTTTTTCCACAATTCATGTTTTTTGAATCCGTGTAAGCTACCAGTCCATAAAGGAACCAACACCTATTCAGATTGGCCAGTAACATACCGGTAGATTTACCTATTCTTTTAGAGTAAAGCAAGTCAAAAGCTAGATTTAAGAGTGAATACTCTAGTCCATTCTTCATATCATTCTCTCTCACAGGACAAGTTTTAATAATATTGCATACAATTTTGACGCACTGTCCACTGAATATGGTATACCTACATGTTGTATGAATACAAACATGCAGCTTCAATTTGCAATTTTGTATATACTTAAATTATGATGTCTAGCTCCATCCCATCTGTGTCACATGACCAAATACAATACTACATAAAACTGGTTATAACGCATAGAGATGTAACGTTTGTCTGTCCCATATATAACAACATCTAATGGGTAACTGGCAGGCAAACTCGGGTAGTCATATACAAAGCAGCCAATCACAAACAGGTGTAGTAATTACCCTTTCTCCAAGTTATCTCCCCTTGTATGTCCAACGGAGGTTAACTTATGTTATAGAAAAAAATAATCTAAAAAGTTTCAAAATAGTATATTCTACAGATTATAAGATTAAGACAGATGTACTGACTTGTTCGGTCATTAAATCTTTGAATGATCATTAATTGTCAATTAATTACACTTTGATGTGACTGTCACATTACTGACTTGTAAACTTGGCCACATTGGTTTGAGTGTTACATGATTTAGACTGCCTTGGTTTATGATAATGTAAACATGAAGAGGAAATGATTAGATACCTCAAAACCAGGACCGTTTTGATATTAGAAGGTTACGATCTCTTCATGTTATTTCAAAACCATAGTGTACACTTCTTTTCAGTTGACATGCGAGGTCATACCATTAAATCATTGGATTCTGAACATTTAGATGTATATTGTTTTGTCAACGACGTCAACTAAAATCAGTATAAAAATTCAAGTAAAACTCGCTATCAGTTATGAATTTCAATGACAAAATAGATTATCCTCAAAATAAAATTACATTTTACTTTTAAAATAGAATTATTGTCAAAATAACTCCATAAAACAATGGTTTATAACATGTAAAGATATATCCCTGTTTTAGAGCCCCAGGATTGTAGAGGATAGGATCTAGCTGTACATACATAGCTCAGTGGCCTACTTAAATTAAGATCAGACAAACTGTGCTTTCTTGCCTCGTAAGAACTTGAAAGTTAGCAACATATTTGAACTGTTGTTTGTTTGAACCAATATTGCTTTCATTTTTATATACAGACATAAAGCTTCGAGAAATTTCTTGTAAACTTCAAATTTAGCAACTCATTCTTCTCCAAATATCTTTCTGGGCAAATTTTGCAATTCTTTTCATACAATGCTGTTTTATCCTCAGTTATGTCAGCTCACCAGGGTAATATGTTATTTATCATAGTTGACATTCAGGGAACTCTGCTAACTGTGGAACCTATAAAGTCGACAAAGCTGTTTAGACCATTGCATGATGAATTCCTTCCAGTATGATTGATTGCATAATTTGCCTGGTAAGAGAGGTTTTGAAAAATTGAATTTTTAACTCCAGTATGAGTGGCTAAATTGGAAGTTTACTAGACTGACTGAGTCACATCATATACCATTGAGCTACAGTGTCTAGCTAGGTAAAAGATGGGCAAATGATGGGCAAAAGCCTCAGGTTAGGATGAACTTGCATTTAGAACATGATGCACTGCAGGGATTCTTTTGACAATTAATCACATGCAGATGCTGCTACCATCAAAATAGATATAAAGGAAAGTTGGTTTCAAATAGGTTTGAAGCATTGAGTGTATTTTTCACAAAAAGTTGTTCACAATTGAAGCGAACAAGATTAAGTTCAGTTCGTCATTTCAAATGATTGTTAAGTTTAAGATTTGAAACAATATTTTTAAAATGTTGTGTGCAGATTTTGTGGTCTTAGGGTCTCCGTCTCCTCATCACAGGGATCCCTGTAATAGCAGCTTATATTAATGGCTGTTAACGTTTTTGCTGAATGTGAAAAATTCATAAGAAACTTAGAAGTCATCGTTATAGAGGCAAGTTAACCACAACCTGTGATATAAAGGGGTGGATGAAGGGGATACCTGTGTGGTTTGTCACTCAGAGAGGTACTGGAACTATATACTGAGGTGGAACTATTAGAAAAGCTGAAAATGAAACACCAAAACCTGGATTATTCAAGGGAGACTACTGGATTACCACGATAAAAACATATTTATTAAAAGAAAGATTTAAAACACAACACAAAGTATATGGATTTTTCCTTCCATATTCATCATTTTTGGTAAGTTTGAGTATTGTGTACTTTTTATTTATGGTGATATGTGCAATTCAGCACTACAAATGACAACAGATATGTACAAAAATACTGACTTCCTAAAATCCTAATTTCCAAACATTTTTCACAGATAAGTTTTTCTATTTCACAGATCTCACAGAGGTAAAAAAAAAAATAAAAAAAATAAGATAACAAATAATTCATACATACTTAAGCAATTGCTTGATAATGACATTTTCTTCACCATACATTATGTATGACCTTTTCCTCTAATCAAAAATTTAAAAGATTTGAAAGTTGAATCCATACAATTCAAGATTTACTAAAAAGATTATTGACACAGACATTTACTCTTCACAATATAGGTCTGATATCTCTACACACCGATGTTTATAGGTCTGATATATCTATACCCCGATGTTTATAGGTCTGATATCTATACACAATGATGTTTATAGGTCTGATATCTATACACAACGATGTTTATAGGGCTGATATCTCTACACAATGATGTTTATAGGTCTGATATCTATATACAACGATGTTTATAGGTCTGATATCTATACACAACGATGTTTATAGGTCCGATATCTATACACAATGATGTTTATAGGTCTGATATCTATACACAACGATGTTTATAGGGCTGATATCTCTACACAATGATGTTTATAGGTCTGATATCTATATACAACGATGTTTATAGGTCTGATATCTATACACAACGATGTTTATAGGTCCGATATCTATACACAATGATGTTTATAGGTCTGATATCTATATACAACGATGTTTATAGGTCTGATATCTATACACATCGATGTTTATAGGTCTGATATCTATACACAATGATGTTTATAGGTCTGATCTCTATACACAACGATGTTTATAGGTCTGATATCTCTACACAATGATGTTTATAGGTCTGATATCTATACACAACGATGTTTATAGGTCCGATATCTATACACAATGATGTTTATAGGTCTGATCTCTATACACAACGATGTTTATAGGTCTGATATCTCTACACAACGGTGTTTATAGGTCTGATATCTCTACACAACGATGGTTATAGGTCTGATATCTCTACACAACGATGTTTATAGGTCTGATATCTAAACACAACGATGTTTATAGGTCTGATATCTATACACAACGATGCTTATAGGTCTGATATCTCTACACAACGATGTTTATAGGTCTGATATCTCTACACACTGATGTTTTTAGGTTTGATATCTCTACACACCGATGTTTATAGGTCTTATATCTCTACACACCGATGTTTATAGGTCTGATATCTATACACAATGATGTTTATAGGTCCGATATCTATACACAACGATGTTTATAGGTCTGATATCTATACACAACGATGTTTATAGGTCCGATATCTATACACAATGATGTTTATAGGTCTGATATCTGTACACAATGCTGTCGACATTTTGATAGCAAGTGAATTTAGAGTAAATTTAGAAACATATTGGGGTTATTATACATAGAAAAAAGGTGAGGAATTAAGGAAGGTTTGTTTGTTACAACTAATGTATGTAATTGTTGACGTAGAGAGAGAAACGAGTGTAACCTCTTGTTTACTTTGACACACACTTCACATTAATAGTGCTAAATCAACAAGAGCAATAAGAACTGTACTCCACAGGGCGAATAAATAACCTACACTCCCAAAAGAAAAAGAAAGATAGAAAAAGGGTGTATCAGTAACTAATATTGTACAAAGAAAATAACTCCCATAAAATAGCCGATTTAAAAAATTAAGGCCAGGTGCACTACTTCTGGGTGCAGTGACTACATCAATGGAGTAACAGAAAATGAGGTGAAAACAGTATGAGTTGTTGTCCGGAAAACATTCTCTCTACAGTCTGACGAACGAACAAACAACCCGATTCCTGAGTATATCACCCTGTGTAAGTTATCCTTGAATTTTAAAATGGTGATACACACCAAATATAATGAATCATTATTGTGTTTGAAAAAGATAAAGTAATTAAAATATGAGGCGTAAAATTTTCTAAAAGAACCTCAGTAAGAACCCTCTTAAAATAATGTGATCCGTTGAGTTTGTATTAGTATACCTCACAGTGTTGAGGGATTAGAACTATACAACACTAGACACTTATAATCCAGGAGCAAATGTCAGAACATAAGCTATTACCACGGAGTGTTAAAAAGCAAGCAAAAAGGGCTACAAAGTAAAATGTATGTATATGTCATAAGTTGAAATAAAAGTACATGCTTACGAAGGTAGTACACGACGAGAGATTACGAAATAAAAGTTTTGTGTTTGTGAATCTTTAAGATCCAAATGATATTTCTGTGTTTTTTGAGTTGTGTCTAAGAGGAGAGATGTCTACACAGCCGACTCACCTATCTCCCCAGTCACTTTATGGCACTGGGATGTTTAGAAAGTATTCACTTACCATCTCCGTAACTAATGGACACATACTTTTTTCTCAATATCTTTTATTAGACTTGAAAGCATAACTACTTTTCCCTCTAATACCATTGAAAAAAATGAAGCTTTCATCATTCACATAATTGGTGAAAGTATTTGCCGTACTCTTTAAAATTACACTAACAAGGAAAAGCTTTAAGGCAGTAAGTACCCTGTCTGTCTTCTTTAACATTTCTTTTCAAATAAAGAAAAACAAATCAGTATTTGAACCAAATGTACCATTAGCGTAAGGAGAGGTGAGTCAACAGCGAGTATTAATACGTTGAGGAACTATTAAGTCAGAATAGTCTATCATTTAGTGTTAATTTACTCACGTGGAAGATGTACCGCTAAAATGAGAAACACCCCCAAAATATGATTTATCCAGAATACATAACATAGTTCCCTTAAAATGAGCAACGGACCCAAAATATGATTTATTCACAATACATTGGTTTTATTGGTTTAATAGTAAAATAAAACAAAAGGAATGAGGATAAAAATGAAATATTAAAGTCTGCAAAATGTCAAAGCAGAATTTTAAAAACATTACAACACAGCAGTGGGTGAGCATGGTCTACAAACTAAATGAATTGATGATATCTACAGGGGTAAGCAGCCAAACAGAATTTAATTTGAAGGCAGCTTATGCCTCCAGTACGTATATATACATCAATTAGTTTATATAATTGACATGCATAGTTGGTGTTATTTATAGCCCCTCACAGCCATTGATACAGATCATACAGGTTGGAGGTCAAGGGGCAGTGTTTACATGTACAGTGCATCCATAAAATCCAGGACATTTTATGAGCAATATAAATTGAGTGCTCCCTGGCTTGAATTATCGGCAATCTGAAGTTGATGTCAAGTTCAATAAAGATATAACTATCATATGAATAGCAACCATTTGTTGTTCAGTTGAAATAATACAATTACCTAAGTTTTATTGACAAAGTTCCAAACCAAACAATAACTCAATCATAATTCAGTTGTTAGATCCAGTAACACTGAACAAAAAATCTGTAAAACTAGCATAAAGCTCTTTGATCGAGAAATAAATGGTACGTCAATTATCAGCTAATAAAAATGAGACTACCAGGTATGATAATGGAAAACCTGTTTCCATGGAAACATATGAGAGAGAGGTTGTCAGCCAGGTAAATCCTGCTCTGGTGACCAAATTGTATAGGTAAGTTACGTGAGTAACGTGAAGATTATATCTATATTCCCAATAGGATGCCAAACCATACAGGATAGGCAATATCGCAGGGATTGCTGACCATATAACCGATGGCAACGTTTACTTACGATCTTGTGTTGTGTTTATGTCGTCGGACGTTGTCTTTAGATCGACTGGCTTTGTTGTTCTCTATCTCATCTTTCATGTCTAGAATCTTCTGTTTTATTTCAGCATCCTCACATAAATCTGTAACAATACACACACACTTTATACAATAGTTCTTTTTATTATTTACAAAATTTAGAATCTCCTTCATGTGAAGTTTTTGGCCCTTTCTTACAAGTCTTACTTCTGAGCCAAACCTTACTGGTACCTACACCAATGCTTTGGATTTTTGTAAATGAAATGTTCAAAAATGGATACTGTTCAGCCTGTCAAAATGTGTTTCTATATGGATAAGAGCTGACTGCCATTTGTAATAAGACTTACCAAAAGGTGTCTCCCCATTTTTGGCTTTAGAGTCAATATCTGCACCATTCCTTACAAGTAGCTCTATCATCTCGGGCTGAAACAGTAAAGAATGGCACAATAATACAACTGAAGCAGTTAAAAGGGTGGAATTTTGACTTAGATTCTCTGGACTTTTTCCTACCTGAAAGTAAGACCAAATCCTCCCCCAATAGTTTATAACTGTTTTTGAACAGAAAATAAAAAAAAACTTAATTAAGGTGCTGCATCATTCTACTTTCAATTTGAAATAATACATATTGTAAACTATGATATTTTGACTCTGCCAGAAATCCCTATCCTCCTTTTGAAGTTAATCATGCTACACCTGCCCTATTAAGGTAAGCTTGCTACATCTGCCCTATTAAGGTAAGCTTGCTACATCAGCCCTATTAAGGTAAGCTTGCTACATCTGCCCTATTAAGGTAAGCTTGCTACATCTGCCCTATTAAGGTAAGCTTGCTACATCTGCCCTATTAAGGTAAGCTTGCTACATCTGCCCTATTAAGGTAAGCTTGCTACATC